GAGTGGCCGCACGCGGAGAGAAATTAAGGACATCTCCGTTCTCTTTCTATCCACATAAGAATCAATGTATCCGTCCCTGTTCCACAAACGCACAACCTTACAATCATTGACATCCAAAACTGTCATTAAGATAACGGGATGAATAATTGACTGTGCATCGTGGATCTTTTTGAAGTAATTAAAATAAAACGTGTTACGAAAGAATGTGCAGGGACTTCATTTTGTATGACCGTTTAAATTTTGTCTTTTAATGGATGGCTATTTAAGTTGATGCTCAATAAAACGGAAAATAAGTGTTGTAATTGCGTTATAAGTGTTATTTTAATCGAGCTGAAGCTTTATTATGTGAACAGAAAAAGCTCTGTGAGTAACGGTCTAAAACTGCAGATTTTCTTCAGAAATTTGATAATTACTTAAGACCATAATTAGCATTTGTAGAATACCGGAGAATATATGAGATAATTCTAGTTATATTTTTTATTTATAATTGTACTAGATGGGTGAAAGAGCTCACAGTGCTTTTTTTTATTACTTAGATGGGTGGACGAGCTCACATGGCGGTGGTACCTACCCGCGCGGACTCACAAGAGGTCCTACCACCAGTAATAATACCAATCTCGAACGTCGAACTCAAAAGCAAATCTGCTTCGCAGCGGAAGTGGTAGTAGGATGGTAACTACCACCCGTGCGGGCTCACAATACCAGTAGATAGATGTTTAAAATATAGCATATCCAATCTACTAATGTAATTGATACCTTGTTTGTCTTCAATGTTTTGAAGTGGTCAAGGTCACTGATTTAGTTGTGTCTAAGGACTTAGGCAAAGCGCTAAGCTATTATGTTATTAAAAAACTATATCATGACCCTAATGTGTGTTTAGATGTACTGACACAGATAATAAAGCGTACCTGCTTGTTTCAAAGTTCTTTAAACATCATTATTATCCTCGTCCGGAGACCCTCTTACCAACAATCCAAATAAACTGCGGTTGACTTTGTTTATTTTTGTATGGGAGAATAGCTTCTTCCTAGAACGTGGGCAACATCGGTAATCGCTGTGTAAATATCGTTAGAAATTTCTAATAACGACTCGAGTGGGTATCAAACTAGTTTCAAAGAAATGTTAAGTCTGCATTTGATTATGTACAAGTTTTATTAAGAGTCACGTTGTAACGTTATAACAATCATCGTGTAACGTTAAGAATAGAAAAAAAAAAAAAATCGTTAAAATATTTTACAGTTCTGCACATTTATCAATATGTTTTTAATAAGAAAGTCGTACCTATCGTTTGCTAAGGGTGTTTCATAAGTGCGAATTAGGTGTTTCACAGTGTTTTGATGACACTATCACAACATTTTCCAATTTTATTTTAAAAAAAAAACATATTATTTTATACCAATGGTTCAACACTGGGTGATTAAGTTAAGTACGATAATTTTTTTTTGTGCACAAGTATAATAATTTTACGTAAATAATTGTATGCAGAATATAGAGGTTCGTTTCCGCCAAACGGATAAGGCGGCTATAACCAGTAATCGAAACCGGTTTCGTCAATGTGGACTCAAGGCACGGCTAGAGGGCTGCGCGATATAAAAGCAGGTGTCCCACGGCGGGCCTGCAATGAGAATTCCACTCCAAGAATTAAACACTCAATCTCATTCTTAAAAAAATGCGAAACTATGCACCGATATCCAACTAGGCCTAACATAAGAAGAGCTGTCGAACTTTAGCCGGTTTTGGGGAAGCTATGATTCAGTCATCAAGACGCTGTACGAGAATTTGAAGAGGACCGCGGTGCCGTGTTTATAACGCGTGTTTAATAATTTAGAGGCGGGTGGGTCCCTAGCCGGTCTGTTCCCTGAATAATGAATGCAACAATAATATGGCTCGAGTTCAACAAAATTCAATACACGACTAACATCACATAAAGCGTTATACTATATTCAGATTCTAAATTCAAGGCAAAAACTTTCGTCGCTGAAATTGAGATTTTATTCATACTTGATGATGACCGAGCTTTGCTCGTTTTTTTTTTTGATAACGCCATCTTGTTGTGTCTCTAAAGCGGTTAGTTGCCCTCAATTAAGAAAAATAGTATTATTATTCGCCAATAGATGTCGGGAAGAGTCATAAAGTTGATTATCGATAAAGTTGATTATTAAAAACACGAATAATACCACATTTTCTTAAAAAGAAATCGTAGCTAGATCGATTTATCGCCCCCGAAATGCCCTGTATACTAAATTTTATGAAAATCGTTGGAGCCGTTTTCGAGATTCAGATTATATATATATTTATATACAAGAATTGCTCGTTTAAAGGTAGAAGAATACCCTTGTTGCATGTATTAAACTTATTTGTGGCGTTTGAATATCGTCTAGTCTAAAAGATTTCTCTCTTCTAAAGGATCCATGGGAACGTACACCTGTCGCACTCGTCGAGAAATAATATGATTCTTAACAAATAATCTTCTAGCTATATGCTTTTGGTATGGTTGTGTACTAAAAATAATTGAATTTATAAAACTCTGTAAAGTTAAAACTGTTCAAAATGTTGTAGTTCTAACCGGTTATACACACTCACTTTATTTGCATAGTAAGCGAGTGGTCTGCTTACCTTAATGTGAGTTACTAATGAGTACATCAGCAGTCAGCGAAGTGGAAAGAGTTGTATAGTTTTAACTTTAATTGATAATTAGCTGTACTGTTTATAACGAGCAAATTAAACGTTTTGCTTCAACATTCTGCACTATCTGTCTTTGTTACTAAACTATGTAACACTATACCATTATGTACTGGACTATGTACTAAACTAACATTATGTACTAAAAAGCCTGAAAATTATTTTAGGACACTTAAAAAATGAATTTTCTTTTAAGTAACGTAACCGTATGTTTGGTAAAACTGAATGAGGGTGCAGGGGAATGCATTTAATTCGTTAATAAATCAGACCGAGGGTGGTACGGGTTCATTAGACTGATCGCCCCAGGGCTTCCGGGGAGCTGCCCACTGCCTCCATCCTTCTGTTACTCAACAGATTTCATTTGTTGAGCGCACTATGCGCTGGACAGATCTGTAATTGAATTAGTAACACGATATGAAGTATAATTTTTAATGTTTTTTTTTTTTGTACAATACATTTGCTTTTATTTACATATATTATTCATTACACTAAATGTGAATATATATATTTAAACGTATTTTCATAACGTTAAAAATCCATTTAAATTTACAGTGGAAGTTGTTCAAGGTCTTTTACTAAAGTCGCGCTTTAATCTAAATGGAAATCTTACTCAAAATAAGTAATTAATTGGCTTTCATAACTCGGGATTATCGCTAGCATAAATTAAGGTAGATTCGCGCAGCTCCTCGTCCACGCACGTAGAGAAACTTTTAATTGCATTGAGCTCTATCACTGTCGTCAGCCGGGAGTTATGAACACCCACAGAGATTTGCAGTCTTCTTTATTGAACCAGGAAACCAGTTTTAATACTTTAATCGACACCGCAACCGTTGAAAATTAAAAAGCTTTTCGATTAGTTCGTCTACACATACATTTTTTTTTTGCTGCGTCTTTTGATTTAATTATTAAGGAAATGTTTAAATGAAACCCGGCGTACGACGACCCAAGACCGAGATGAATGATGAATTTTGAAATTAAAAATTGTCACCGTGTTTCCGGTGTCTGGCCTTCATAACACAATACAATGAAGGCCAGGACCGGACGAGAGGACTCATTAATTTAGATGATTGTACAATTATCTAAATATAAGCGGAGCGAGACGCCCACGCGGGGGAAGGGGGTACTCCAACCCGAAAAGTAGGGAGGGGTGCGGGCACTCGTTTTTAATTAAACCGACGATGAAATGAAGTGGTCCGTATAATATTGCTTAGACATGTTTTAAATTAATTTCAACCCGTCTTATTACGAATGATTTGATGAAATAATTTGATAACATCATAAGTTCTCAAGGGCAGGAATCATCTTCGTTCAGTTATCTTTTTAATTCGTCACAGTAATTTAACACGTGGATGTTGGTTCCCTTGATCTAAATTAAAATCACGAGAGTAATTACATCATCCACGTGTTTTTTGTAGTTTATTAAAGTTGTAATGTTGAATACGCCAATCGAATAAGAATGGCGAAAGCATCTAGGACATTATTTCTGTGAGTCTGCGAAAGTTTTTAATAACATTTATTCAGGCAGAGCAATAACAATGACGTGGTACCGCCATCGCTCGTACGCAAGGGTTCTGCGCCTCTCCTGTCTATTTGTATTTCGTTAAAGCTTTAATTAAAATTAGGTTTATTTTAAACAAAATTTATATTTAAAGTAAATAAATCGTTGATGGTTTAATTATCTCTTACCTAATTGAGTTTCACGTGTTGGTAAAAGAATTGATGTCCGATTCGTGAAATTATTTTGCTTTAATCATTATAATAGCGGTTTAATGTCTCTATTCTCAGAAATTTCCTAATTTTATTATTCTAATTTAATGATTGTATCTTTGCACTCATTATATTACGTGACTGTCTGCATACTTGGATAAAAGCCAATTGTAAACATTTTTGAGGTTCCCAAGATTTTCTCAATTTCTTTATACATTATGTGTATATAAGAGCTGGGTATTCATGAAGTTGTTCAGTTTCCGCTCCTGCATCCATGTTTCCTTGCTTTCATTTCCTTAATTTTACATTTGATTTTTGTTGAAGTTCTTTAAGTACTAACATATTCAATATACCTACCTAAAGCATGGGCAACGTGCTCTTCTTCTATTGTCACGTGTTCTTTTCTGACAATTATAGTAGCATCCGTGTTCTTAAGCTGTCAGGATTATAAAAAGGAAAGTTTCAAACTTTCATTTATACGTACGACGTGGTAAAACTAAGCCAAAAAGTCTAAATTCTACTTATTCCTTACAAAAAATTATATTACTTTGCAGTCCGGAGTTGGAAGTGTCCATGATTGTATTTTGGTTTTAAATTATGTAAATAGTTACCTAAAGGCTTTGTCCTTTGGGGTCTCTTAGCCGTGCGTCCAGGCCTGGTGCTTCGAAGGGTGCCCCGCCGGTCTCCGAACCGGCACGATGCACCAAACAAAAAACTTAACAATAACAAAAAAAACACAACTTCAAACCGTAAAAAAAACGCACATGGATAGTCTAATAGGTACCAAGTTTCACAGTGTTAGTGGAGGATCACAATAAACTTTCAAACGAAAACTTCGAAACAAAACTGTTTTGACAACTTCGGAAAAAGTAGTTGTTTTTGTGGGGACCGACGACACCTCCCCTTGCAACGTTTCGGTCGCGACTGAAGCACGCGGTCGAGTGCGGGGTGAAGAGGGACGCAGGGGGGCACCGGCCCCTCACCTCCGCGGTATTATTTGATTAATTCGCCTCCCCCTTGTATACTCGGTGAGTCGTAACGACGCTGGAGACGTTAAGTTTTTAAATTTCAGTGAGAGGGCCGCAACCTTCACCTACTCCTTAATACTTTAATTGAATTAATTAAGATCGACGGGCGCCAACAAAGATTAGACGTTAATAAGCAAACGCTGAAGGATGCGTCCCGCTCATGGTCAATTACGAGAAGGTGGTTGCGGGTGTTCGTCGGAAAAAATCCCAACTTAATATAATGAATATTACTTACCGAGCGACGTAAGACTCGCTAATTGGAGTGCATTTGCATAGTGGAGTAAAATAAAAGAGTGAGTTATTTCGACGATGTCACTTGAAAGTGAGTGCTGCGGAGTGCTGATGGATGGTCCTAGCGAATGTTAAGTAAAAATGCGTGCAATTTTTTTTTATGACTTAGATAGTTGGATGAGTCACGGACCACCTGATGTTAAGTGGTTACCTGAGTCCATCGACATCTACAACGTAAATGCCGCCATCCACTTTGAGACATGAGTTTTAAAGTCTCACTTTTAACAGTACGGCGGCTGCCCCACCCTTCAAACCGAAACGCATTACTGCTTCACGGCAGAAAATAGGCAGGGTGGTGGTGCCTACCCGTGCCGACTCGCAAGACGTCCTACCACCAGTAATTACGGAAATTACAATTTTGCGAGTTTATTTTTTATTAAACGATGCAATGCAATAAATATCATCTGTATTTTGATTTTTGCAATCCACGAGTTTTGTGCATCATTTTAAACAAACACGTGAGGTAAATAAAGTCGATTCGATTGTTTTATTATGAATTAAATGCGTCAGTATTTAAACCATAATAAACATAATTAACACATAAAGATGTTTTGTCAACGGTAAGTACAACTCTTCAAAACTAACCCACACTTTAAATTAATAAATACATTTAAAAACGAAAATTGTTGATAACAAAATTTAAGACAATGTGATTATAATGTAACGACTTTGAGTGCAGTTTTGTTTTATAACGATATTTAACTGAGGGAACTCCCACTTCGCTGAAAAGAACGAACTCTTGATTAATAAGAAGAACCAATTGTCTTGAAAGCTATTACACAAACCGCGTCATCGTACAAGAAAGAGGCCGGCCCAATTTCAGCTTAATTCAATAACTCTACGGACATCGTTATCAACTTAATTGGGTTTAGATCGATCGATCACGTTGCGCTCACGCAGGTCGCCCTAGCCTACACGCGCTTGTTGAAATTGATATAAAATTTATAGACCGGAGTTTTTTTTTTTTTTTAATCTTAGTCAAAAAGATTTCTCGTCGATTGTATTACACAAAATAGCGGCTACTAAGTTATCTTTTTTTAAGGGATGTTATGACCTGGTAGTTGAGACCTTTAAGTCATGTCTTATTTTAATGTATATTCACAAATTATATTATGGAGTGAAATGAAATGAAGATGATTAATTTGAGACATTAATCAACTGGGATGAAATTAAATGAAATGATATGGGATGAAATATAATCTCAGAAAAATGGTGGTCATTTACTAAGATTTTTTCAGTGGACTTTTTGGAGGATCCCGAGAAGTTACGTCCAGCGGCTTTGTTTAATTTTCCCACATTTGTGCACTTTCATAGATATTAAACAGTTAATAAACCACCATTATTGTGTAATAATGGTGGTGGTGGTCGGGTTTAAATGTGTATTTAAACCCGAAGAAACACTAAATAGACAAAATAAAACAAATCACACAACTTCACTCCTCGCGTTCCCGCCAAAAATTCAACTAAGCTATCGATTTTTCAAGGTGTTGCCAGTGAATTGGTATCAAGAAATAGGTTTAATTATGTAACTAAAATTTTTTGGAGCGAACATAAAGGCCCATTCCACAATTATTTTAAAAGTGCTTTCACGACAGTGAGATGCTGCCTTTAAAAGAGTACAATCGCTCAGAAAATGAATCTTTGTTTAAATTTAATGGGCCCTATTAATCATGAGCACTATGTCTAGATGGAAATGATGTGGTAATCTATGACTCAGATTAGAAAGATATCGAGGTATTTTTTTATAACTAAGCAAATGCACCGTTACACAACATAGTCTAATAAAGTTATTGGAATATGTGCTTTATCTCATTGAGGTAAAGTTCTTCATGTAAATTATAAGTATGACAGGTGAACGTGTTACTAATTCTAGTTCTTAATTAGCGCAGTGCACCTTTTAGACTGTCAGGAAGTTACAGTTTAATAAAGGTTATCGCTTCTTACGCTAATTTTTATTAGGTTTCGTAACAAATATAATGTAATTTTGATTGTAATTCTGACTATTATCATTATTAAAAATAATTTATTTTTAACTAGTTTAGTTATACAAAACAAAAAAGATACACACAAAAAAGCTGGATCGATTCAATGCCTTCCGGTTTGAAAGGCTGGGTAATCGTTATGCTAATGCAATTCAATTAGGTTTAAATATTATTTATTTCTCGTAATAACATAATGTTCACATTAAATAAAATATAAGGAAATGGTAATCCACATTGGTTTGTCAATAAAATGTGTGCCAAACTAAAATCGACGTTTTGTAATCTGTACATAAGAAACATTTTGGTTTGGTTTTAAACATGTTTATGTTGTTGCATTATTTAAAGTCGTTTGGTAACTGGTACAGCTGTGCTCTCTCAAACAATATCGTTTTCTTTCCATAGTTGGTTCAGGACATTAACGACTTTGATTTTATGCTTAGGTTTTAGGTTATGTTTCCTATTTGTTGGTTTAGTTGTTAATTATATTGTATTGAATTTTTCATTGAAATTTTAATTAGAAGCTACAGCATCTGAAAAGAGTTATATTAAAGAGTTTTTTCTTTCGATTTTTTTTAATTTTCTTTCGGCTTTTTATTCCTACCTAAGCTGATGGTCTAAACTCTAGAGAGACCATATCAAGGATGCTATCATAAAAAGATGCTATGCCTAAAATATTATAAGTATATTAGACAATTAAAATACAAAGCATATCATTAATTCTATTCTTTTAATTATCTGCATTAATGCAATGACAACCACGTATGTACATAGTACGACAATAACTTGAAGTAAATCGTCATGTTGCCCATAACAGCGAGACAAGGGTACAATTAAGGCGGCGACACACTGCACCGTGCAGCGCAGTTAAGGGTGAGGCTGAACACTCCGTGTCGGTCACAATGCGCCAAATGACGGCCGCCCGGTACGTAAATGAAGAATATTGTCGGACTCTGTGAATACTCCTTAATGACGCACCGACATCGCGTACCGTCGTCACCCACACATTTGCGACGATTGATAATTTATAATTATTGGTTCATTGTGTAATTAAGCTTTTATAAGCGCCTAGATATTAAAGGCTCTTTTCTAGAGCGAATGAAGGATTTTTCCATATAAAGAGATTAATTCACGAATATATTGAAACAAATACTGGTAAGATTACATTTAACTTAATCGGATTATGTAATGCTGATCTCAGATTCGTTTAACATCGAGTATACATTTATTCCATATTTTAACTCGTTTCTTCTTTTATGTTTATCTACTTACTACCTAATTACGAGTAATTTAGGTGTTCAATTCGTAATTGATAAGAATGTGCTTTTTTTCCCCTGCCTATTCGTTGGTAGCCTATGAGGCTATTTCAGTTACGCCCGGACGGATAGGTGAGCTCACGGGCTCAACCTGAGAGAAATTGCTAACACTAGCCCCAGCAAGAGTAGTGCTTCGCAGAATCTACGACCGGATTGGAATCGCGACCCACTGAGAAGATCCGACAAAGAAACTCAGTGGGCTGTGTCTATGGGCTAGTTCGTTCGTCGAGCTCTTCGTCGTAATCGACGAGTTCGACGAGGACGGTGACCGGTGCTTGAAGGTCCTTAAAGCACCGGCAGTGAATTCAGGGGATCCGATTAGACATGTTTTGGGCAATGGAGGCTTTGCGTTGCACCGTCACGGTCGTATAAGATAAATGTGCTTAAACGCGTCAGATTTACATATTTATGAAAATTATGTTTCTACATTTAATATTTTCTACTTCTATTAACGTAAGGTATCTTCAAGATAAAATTTATTCTTCAGGCCTATTGCTGTTTGTAATGCAGGTCGGCTTTGTATTCAGATTGTACTTAGCAAGATTTGTTTCTAATGACCGACATATATGTTAGTACTTTTTGTGGATCCGACGCAATAGAAGCAGTTTTTTGGTCATATGCTCATTAGATTTTAGCATGACGATTATGAGCCTACCTACCTAACTTAAAAAGCTTGACCAGATATTGGATAGGATTTTCGTGACATACAAACGAATTCTTCTTCCTAGTCGCTTAGTTTTTGACAGAGTGGTTGTGATCATTATTTAGTATCGGGGTAGATTTAATGTGCCTTACAATGTCCCGCCATCTCTCCCCGCTCGAGGTCATCCTACTGCACTTATTTCACGAACGAATTCACTTACAAATGAACGTACTCAGTTTCCTTATAAATATCTTCAACGCAGCAAAATAATTGTTATAGTTTTAAAGCACAATTAAAGAGCATAAAAATTACACAAAAACAACAATAAATTTAACATTTATTTCATTATTCATTTTCTAGTTCATAATCGCGGTCCCTTTCATAACAGTTAAAATCAAACCCACAAAATTATAATTTCCGTAATTACTGGTGGTAGGACCTCTTGTGAGTCCGCACGGGTAGGTACCACCGCCCTATTTATTTCTGCCGTGAAGCAGTAATGCGTTTCGGTTTGAAGAGTGGGACAGCCGTTGTAACTATACTGAGACCTTAGAACTTATATCTCAAGGTGGGTGGTGCATTTACGTTGTAGATGTCTATGGGCTCCAGTAACCGCTTAAAAACCAGGTGGGCTGTGAGCTCGTCCATCCATATA